ACACACACACACACACACACACACACACACACACACACACACACACAGGAACATGTTAGGGCTTATCCTCTCTCTTTTAGTACAGTGACAGATAAACTCTTTCACATTCATAATTCTTACATTAACTCCAACAGCTTATGAAAGATTTTAAAATAAGCACATGAGAGCGTTTTCAGTTGTGTGTTCTGTTAGCAGGTGTGAACGCAGTGAGAGAGCAGCGTGACTGAATGTGTGAGACTGTATCTAAATCTATCAATTCAATTTCCACAGCCTGCTCACACCTAATGAAAAAGCCTGGGTCTTTAAATTGCTCTTGCTAAAAAAATGCACACTTGCTACACGCACACTTGAAACACTTGCGCTGATGTGTGCACAGGGAACAGGGAATCTTTTGCTTGACTGCACAGACACACGCACGCACACATGTTCACAAACTTTGTGCAGGTTTCAGACATGGTGTGTATGTGTGAGTGGCCATAATATTTCAGACAACCTCGAGGCGAAAATCTTTTGATCCCGTAAAACTCCAAATAGCCGTGTATCCTCAGCATTCCAGTGTCCGCGGCTTTCTCAACAAGACACCATGGGACCGCTTTGTGGGTGTCTATTTAATCGCGCTCTTGATCTGTTGAATGGCATCGTGTTTGTTTTTGGTTAATGCGCTTCCTTTGTGCTCCTGCGTAAGTAGCTCTCTTGAGGGAAATTATGTGCATATTTTTGCTAAAGGTGACATTTCCTTGCTTGCTCTGTGAAATAAACGACTGGAGACGGCTGCCTTGCGTCTATTTTCTGACTGAGAGTAGAGGAGGTCTGTTTGGTCTGTGCCAAAGCTATTTGCTAATGGAGTTTGGCTGCACTGCCAAAGATACATTTATAGTATACCATTAATTCATTAAGAAACTGCAGTCCTCTCATTTCAAATAAAACAAAAGATGAGGCGGAAAGGGAGAGAGACAGCTTGCATTTTGGAGCAGTGTCGTTAATCTCAGAGGCCTGGTGTCAAGGACAAAATGTTGATGGAGCCGAAGTACAGATTGTGTGTGTGTGTGTGTGTGTGTGTGCTTTCATGTGTATGCGTGTCACTGGGAGGTTGCACCTGTGTGTGCAGTTATAGCTGCTGACAGAGGCAGGGAGGCAGCTAATTTTAGTTCAGGTGAAAGACAGGAGGGAGCGGAGGAAGGTTTTGATGAGCAGGATCGTTGTTGTGGAGCTGAAATCCCCAAAAGAACCAACAGGCACCGAGCGAGGAAGGATGACAGACTGACAGGACCCAGACAGACGAGCCCCATCGATCAAAACCACAGCGGCGGCCTTAGTTTATTGATCAAACAGCATGGAGGCCTGGGGAGTTAGCGAGCAGGAGACGGGGGAGAAAGGGGACCAGCTCAAAGAGAAACATTTTCAAGATGCATAAATTAAGAGGAAAGAGATACAGAAGGAATATTTTCAAGCATATCAGTTTTAAGAGCTAGCATGTGATCACAGACGCATCGTCATATCAGCTTTAAAACACAGAAACAATACCAGTCCATACTTATTTAAGATATTTGGCTTTGTTGAATTTGTATTTTTGTGATACCTTCCTGTAAACTGTAAAATGACCAATACAATAGAAGTTGTTCAAAAGGATGATTCTGGTTTATTAGAACTTGGGTCTTGTTTTTGTAGTGTTGGACATAATTTCAATCTCTACAGATATCACTGTACTCACCAAGTTGCTTAGATCTGGGAACACAGCTATGCTGCTACAAATAGGTGAGACAGGGCAAGAAATCTGCTGTTTGGCCAAATTTATTTGGAAGAGGAAAAGAAGACAATCTATAATAAGCCTTTAGAGTGTATAGATGGACTTATTGTTTCAACTTTGACCTGGAAGTTAAACTCTGTGCAAGCAGGGATTGTTATTGCCATTTACAATGTTTCACGTTTAGCTTTACCTCAAAATAAAGAGGCTTACATCATCGGGCTAAACTTTAAGCTTTTTTACAGCCTGTCTGAGCATGTGACCACGTCTGACTTTATTGTAGCAACGTTGGCGTTTTCCCAGATCTCTGCAATTACTCTCAACTTGCAGTCATTCATTACAAATTCAGCAGATCTTTACTGAGAATAATTAGCATTCATTTGGAGTTATGTTTGTGTTCACCAATATTCACTCTCTTTTTAGCTCTTTTTTGGTCTTCACTGACTCATGTGGGGAATATTTGGCTCCATAGCTGTTAAATGCTCCACTTTGTTCACCAGCTAGTCGCTATATTGTCTGTTGTTTGGTGCTGAGCAGGTAGTGCACAGTGGGTAAATCAGAGCTTTTGTGCAGTAAACAGCTGCCTGCTCCTACCAAAAGCTTTGAGAGTGAACCAAAAACAAATTAACTTAGAGGCCGGAAAATCAAAACAATCAGCCGAAACTCTGTTTTCACATTGTCATGTGGTACATCAGTGTGGAAATGATTGATTATAGCTGCTTCAAGCTGATACCTTTTTTTCTCATTTATCAGGTGGATAGAACTAATAAGCAACTGTTTGCTAACAGTTCACCATATCAAATCAGTTATTGCAGGTTTACGCATTTATCTCAGACTCTAAGCTTCAGCCACACTGGAAAATCTTGTCGACAGGCAACATTTAGACAGATTTTTGACAGTATCCTTCACCATCTCAAAAAGTGTATCATCCTTCGAAGGCTCCGGAGAGCCATTAAACAAGAGTTCCTTCACAGTCTGCAGACTTATGAGCAGAGGACAGAAGCTCATCTGCAAATTAAACGGTGGCTGTGTGTGCAGCATGAATAATGAAACGCTCTGATACGTCACTGCAGCTATAGATCGACTATAAAACTCAAGAGGCACTCCCTGAATCCCTATTTATTTTTGAACTCCTTGACTGATATTATCTAGAACCTGGCAATGCAATTACAGAGGCCCTGCCATCAATAGTGGATTCCAGCAGTGCAAGCGTGACAGAAATCCACTTATTCCATCTAGTATTGATGTCAATTTACTGTTTCATTACAGCTGGAGCTTAGAGAGCCGCACATGATCACAACTGAATGAGTATCTTATTATAGGACCTTAAAGCAAGTTTAGAACCACAGCTGATAAATAATGCAACAGATACAATGCGTTATCATGCACAGATGCTCAGCAGACACAGGCACTTACAGAGATAGTAATGGATTAGGTGTGAAGACATTGCTCGGCTGCATATGTATGAGCTGCAGCAGGTACCATTGAGAGTGGAGATTTGTAGGGTCCTTCACTGCAAATCAGGTTTATTATAGCTTTGGGATTCTTTGTTTTTATCTGCATATTCTTTTTACTTAATAGTGTAATATGTTACAGCCTGACTGCACTCAATGTGGAGTTTTAGTTTATTTTTTTTGTGCACTGTGTTTAATCTTGGCATTTGTTTTCAATTCCTATATTTCTGGAAGGAATATCTTTTAGGTATACCACAACATGTGCACAGCAGATCATTTAAATCACAACTGGTTTCTAAATGGAGTACCTTAAACAAGCATTAAGTGAATTTGTTTTTGGCTCCTTGAGGGTTGTAAACACCACACTGACGCATTTTATGGGGATCTTTTGGCAAAAATATAATGTAATATTAAAAAGAATGTTTTCTTCAGTGTATAATCACCTGAAAATTAGAGTTGTTTCATTTTTGTTATCGTTGAATGAGCCGTTTATAGTTATGGGGGAATGGAGCTTCTTCACAGAGCCGGCTGCATTTTTCCAACCCAGAACTGACATATCATTGGAAATTTGCATTTTCATGTCAGCCAAATCCTTCACACTGGCCTTTTATATACCGAACTTGTTAGCAAGCAGTTAAATTATTATTCATTTTGAGTTGTGTTTATGTCTAACTGGTGAATTAAACAACAATATTCACCCTCATTTAGCTTTCTTTTGGTCTCCGTTAACTCCTAGCTTTAACAGCTAAATGCTCTTTTTTTTTTTGAAAACAGAAACAAGGCCATGAGAGTCACACACACACACACACACACACATATGGCCTCATGTAATCCAATGCAGCAGTCCTGTATCTGCTGCTTTTGTGACGCTAATAATGTTCTGTTGTTGTGTTAGAGGGTTGTTGTTGTGTGCTGTATCGGATTGTGTTGTGTTATACATGAGTTCATGTTATTGTTTTTCTCCTGTGCTGCAAGGACTCTCTGTCTCTTCCAGGGTTTGCTGCAGTTGCTAAAAGTGATAAATAAGGAAACGCTGGAATGTTTTTGGGGTTGAAACTGAGAAACTGTGACACCACGAACAGTATTGATCAGGGAAATGTTTGCGTCAGGTGAAACACTTGGAGCCTCACCAACCTCATCCTCTCTAATTTGTAGTCTGGCTCACAGTCAGACCGCGAGGATAGTTAGAGTGCTTTCACACCAACTGGCCTGAGGTCGAGTCCCACCAGCGCTCCCCTTCCTGTTCCTCCATCTGCTTTGTGATCTGCTGATTTGCTAAAATTCCTCTTTGCTATAATTATCCTCTCCTCCCCACCCCTCTCCCTTCTCCCCCTGCATCCTCCCCCATGCCCCAAACCCTCGACATCATAGGTGTAACACTGTCTTAAGCCTGAGGGGGGCAGAATGCCGGAGCAGAGCAACGACTATCGTGTGGTGGTGTTCGGGGCAGGGGGAGTGGGGAAGAGCTCCCTGGTGCTGCGCTTCGTGAAGGGCACCTTCAGGGACACCTACATCCCCACGGTGGAGGACACCTACCGTCAGGTGATCAGCTGCGATAAGAGCGTGTGCACCCTCCAGATCACCGACACCACAGGGAGCCACCAGTTCCCAGCCATGCAGCGCCTGTCCATCTCTAAAGGCCACGCCTTCATCCTCGTCTACTCCATCACGAGCAAACAGTCCCTGGAGGAGCTCAAACCCATTTACCAACAGGTGGGGAGTAATGGTGTGTGTGTGTGTGTGTGTGTGTGTGTGTGTGTGTGTGTGTGTGTGTGTGTGTGTGTGTGTGTTTGTGGATGGCTGGGTTGATTGTACCTGAGTGTGTGCTGTAAACTTTACACGTATTATAACTAAATACAGAATGGAAATACAGGATAAATCTTTTACTTTGATTACTTCAGGCATGAAATGCAGTACATTGTGCTTTACAGAAAATCAAACAATCATTAAAAATGTGTAATAAAACAAGGATAAATACAATTAAATAATGTGTAATAAATATTTCTCTTTGGATGTTAAGATTACCACCAAATCAATGTTTTGGATGTTTATAATGTGCTCTCACCAGCCAGAACATAACAAGCTCTCCTCTTGTTCTCCTTCTCCTCTGCAGGTCTTGGCCATAAAGGGCAACGTCGAGGCCATCCCCATCATGCTTGTGGGCAACAAGAGCGACGAGACCCTGCGGGAGGTGGAGACCAAGGACGGGGAAGCCCAGGCCAACCAGTGGAAGTGCGCCTTCATGGAGACGTCGGCCAAGACCAACCACAACGTTACCGAGCTCTTCCAGGAGCTCCTCAACCTGGACAAGAAGAGGAACATGAGCCTCAACATCGATGGCAAGCGCTCGGGGAAGCAGTCCCGCGCTGAGAGACTGAAGGGCAAATGCAGCGTGATGTAAATCCAGGAGAGGAGGAAACAAGAGGTGGAGGTTGAGGGGGGGGGGGAGAGAAAAGCGAAATAAGGAAGACAAGGGATTGGAGGGACTCACTAAACGTATCACTCGGAGCTAAACGTCTGGAAGGTAGCAGGAATCTCATCATCCACATCCTCCTCTGTTTGACTGGTGCATTCACAAACACAACTTGGCAGTTATTTTGAAAACATACAGGATTTCAGTTCCGAACCTTACATCCATGTGCATTCTGCTAGAAGTAAGAGATGAGGGGGGGACTGACGCAGAATATTGAGAGGCAGATTAAAATCAAGACGTGCGCGTCGCAGATGAATTACCTGTGGACGTCAGCCATGGTCGGAAGAAGCGTGGGTGTGGACTTTTGCGTCATCCGAGTGCCACAAAACCTGGCTGAGAAGCTCATCGAGACCCTGGCCTGCAATGAATACCACAGACTGCATCATCCCCTGAAAACAGGCTGAAGGTTTCTGATCTACACGAAACATTTAGTGTCCCTCCCTCCCTGCTCAGCTCCCTCGTCATCCCAGCACCCTCAGCCTTCGCATACACCCCAAATACTATAACAAATATAGAGAAATGTAATGTATATGTAACAGAGCCAACAAAGTTCGTCAAGCTCACTCATCTGGTAGAAACACTATTTTAAGAGACTGAGGTGTCTGTCATGCTAGAAAGTGCAGAACCCAAAGGTTTTGAGACTGCTAGCGTGACGGACATTAAATCAGCAACAAAACATGCGACCCAGCTACATCCCAGAGCCACTCCTGAGGACTCTGATCTAAATAAACAAGGGATATTTCAATATATTCCATCTAGTCTACATAAGCACTGCCCAAACCAGTACATCAGTCACAAGAATAGGGTGAAGTTTGAAGCATTAAAGCTTAGTCTTTTCATCTCCTCCTAATCATCCCTTCTGAAAGCTAAAAAAGACCATAATTAACCTTCATCAAGCTGTCATCATGTTAAAAACTCATCTGCTAAATGTCCTCTTCTGAAGTGGAGTAACATCCAGCGGAAGGGTATGCACACACGCTACTGATATGACGCAACAATCCTTTTAAGACTCTCATCTAGTGTAGAATAACTCTGAATGAAAAGAAGCTGGACTCTGATCAAACATAGAAATACAAGTCTGCCTTGTCTACGAGGATGATACACTCGGATAATCATTTCCAAGCTGGTAAGACGAAAGGGATGCTTTTTGGTTCTGAGGCTAAGAATGTCCGTTTGCTTTGGCACTTTTCATGTGTACGTTTCTCTTCTTTGGCCTTTCTTTCTTGCCTGTTTGCTTTTTGATGCTCTTTAAAGTTGTGTAAGAGTAAAAAACAAAAGCCCTCCTTAAATAAAAAGCACACAGAGATGCATGCAGATCATTCAGTTTGACCTGAATCACCAAATTCTGTTTCCTCTTTGGTTGGTTTGGTCACATTACCTCGCATTACGCTCATGCAGGCATCGGCAAGCAGGAAACAGAATGGGTCACACACACTTTTACACACACACGGCATGCGCACAAATGCATTCATGCAAGAGTAAAAAAAAAAAGAAAAAAGTCAATCTGAGTAACACTGTTGACTGATTACATGAAGACAAACAGGGCTCACTCAGCCTCAATGCCCTCACGTTGCACTTTATATCATAAACACACATGTGCACGCACACAACTGTAATTTGTCATGTTTTTGCCTATATGTTAAGTTTTAACGATCTCCACATAATACAGAATATCCTCCTGGAGCCATTAAATAGCTCCACTGTATGTCCAAAGTGCATGAATACACCCGTTTTCACGCAGGAGCTCTGAATATTGTACAAAGTCTACACGGGACAGCCAAAAGCACAATACTTTTTTACCAACATATCTATTTGTACATTTATTTGTGTTTCTTTCTCTTTTTTTTGTGTGTTTTCCTTGTTTGTCTTCTTTGTGCGATTTTCAGCTTCAACATTTATTCACCAGTCCTAAACATGGAGAAATAATCGCATCATGATCACCGGTAGCTTCTCCGTCTCAATATAGATGTAAAGTGTTTTATTCGTCCGGTACATGGCACAATGAGGTTGTGGTTCTGCTGCACAACAGGGTATCGGGATGTGACCGGTTAGCTGTGGTCGCGAGGCTCGTAGATGCGACAAAACCCCCACAGAATTGTAGGTCGCATAGGACAAAGAGGATGGGCATTATTTGTCTACTTTTCTCCATCTCTCAGGCGGTTTTAACAACAATTTGGTTGGAGGATAATCTGCTCCTGTACTGTTAAACCCAAAGACACAGATGATGCCCCTTTTTACTGAGTGCCCATCTCTTTGAAAAAAAAAAAAAAAGCACAGCAACTGTTTCCGTCTGTCTCCTTCTCTGTCTTTGTGTGCAGCAGAGTCAACAACTGGGCACTTTAGGGTGACATTTTACTTGAAGACTTGCTTATTAATCAGCAATGCCTCATTTATAAGCACCATTGTAAAATGTCCCTCCTGCATTATTCACGCCCACAGAAAAACTATTTAACATAGTGTAGTTATTGTAAATAAAGCATATTATGGTAGTTGACTGACATGTTTATAAGAGCTTCAAGTAAGATGTTACCCATGTAAAGAAAAACTGTACCCGCTGTCTTTCTGGGAACAAGTCCTTTGTGACCAGGAAATGTTGTTACAGTAGGAGGTTCGATGTTGCTATGTACTGTAATATACAGCTTATTAATAATGATGCTCATCATATATTGTATTTGACTCATCCACTCTTCAGATCTATCAATCAGATAATACTAGCAAAATGTGAATATGTAACTAAAGGTTCCACTCCATGGCTGTTGCCTTTTTTTTCCCATTTTGAAAGCTGAATGAATCCGTTGGTATCGATGTGTTGTACTTTGCACGAATGTGAGGTCCTGTTAAACTCCAACATTAGCAATGTAAAACCTACCCTTTACCTGTTCGATGCCAGGAATGCTCACTCGTACTCTCTCTTCTGATTTTATTTCATCAATTCATATTTTGAAAAAAAAAAACAAGTTGTATTTGAAATTGTTTGTCTTGGTTCGTTTTAGATGCCCGAAGGATGGAGAGATATCTGTCATGTACCAACCTTATGTGTCCTTCTAGAGGTTAAAAAGCTAGAAAAACAAGAGCTGGAAGTTATCTGTAAAACTATCAGACAGTTCTGACCTGATCTGATGTGTAGCTATACCGGCAGCGGTGGTGCACACGCTGCATAAATATGAGCTTGACACGTCTGGTTGCTTCACGCAAACGCCAGCTTGCGAGCGCATGTTTGTGCAATCTGTTGTTCTGCTGACGTCTACAGGAGACTGTCGTTGTTCATGTCCCTGCTTGGAATATGATACAGCAGGGAGGGGAAAACAATGACACAGCGTGCAATAGCAGCATGGACAACAAGCTTGAGCGAGAGGCTGCACTATTATTAGAAATAGTGTGAAAATATGGAGTGCGTTAACTAACTATAGGCTGTATAAGATTCAAATGTGCTTGCATGTGAGGAGGCGTGCATGGGAAGTGCGTGAGCGTTCGTTGAGTTTCTTGGGCTGTGTGAGTTAAATGCTGGCATGAATTAGGACAGACACCTCTGCCCCCGTCCTCCCATGGCCTGTCTCATCTCCTTTATCAATGAAGCATACTCACTGCTGCTGTCTGTGTCTGTGCGTGTGACCATGAGTGCATCCATGTATGTGCGCAATCAGCCACCTATTTGCATCCCTTCACTCTGGCCTGCATGTGTGCGTGTGTGTGTGTGTGCATATTTGTGTGCTGTACCACCTTATGAAACGTCTGTCAGATATTTGAAGCTTTCCTGTGCAGAATGCCTACACATTTCTGCATGAGTCATCCCGCTCTGCTTTAACACGCCTACAAAAAACACAGACAAGTATGTAACGGGCATGGAGGCAAAATAGACAGACTGCATGCTCTTAGCTACACCCACACACACACACACACACACACACACACACACACACACACACACTCTTTTTCACCCATATTACATTCACACAGGCCTTGTCAGTGAGCCAGATTCTCTCACTGTCTTTTGTTCTGCTCTGCACTGTTGTACAGGCACCACTGTCAGCCCTACTCCTCCATAAATCACCTGTGCACCCCCTGAAATGTTGAGTTTCCTTCACATTCATACCTCAGACTTTATTTAATTGTTTTTGGTGTTGTGTAAGTCAGTTGCACTAAAACAGAAGGAAGGCCAACCCTGCTCGCATCTGATTGTAGATAGTTGTAAATAGTGTTCAAAGGACATAATATTTCAGAGAGGAGAGTGTGCAGAGAAATTGATGCTGTGGGAAGATGTGTTTCCTTCAACGTGTCCAATTCAAAGTAACTCAGCGAATCTAAGAGTTTCCTTCAGAGGGGAGCTACTTGGTGATTTTATGTCAACTTCACCAGCTGTCATGAACTCGTTAAAACTTTGGACTTTTTTTTAAAGTGTCCTATGAATTTCTCTGCAAGATAAATAGCCTATTGAGTGAACAGAGGAAAGCTACGGAAGCCCAAAGTGACCAATATTAGATATGAAATTCTGAAATATTTACGATGAATGTTTAAAATTCAGCTCGTTATTATAAAATCCAGTTTCTTTTCACAATAAGAGCTTACTGCAGATCATCTTTTTTTTTTTTCAGGGTTTTTATTTCCAAATGTTGCTTTACTGTTTTTATTTGTCCGAATGAACATTTATTTTATAACAGCACTTTTCATCACTAAGTCTTTGTTCGTCAATCATGACAAACAGGGCACAACCGGTTATGTGATTGACTGTCTGCTCAATCAGACCAAAGCATCAGCCAATCACATGGCTGGAATGAAATAAAAATGTCCTGCAGATAAAATAATATTCAATAATACTAAAACGAGTTTCTGGGAATATTTCACAGTTTTTGGTTAAATAATGTCATGTGATTATTTATTTCATGATGTCATTGCAATTAATATTGAACACTTTGGGTCTCCATTGGAATCTACATTGGCAGCACCTCAGACAAGGTGAAGTTCACCTTACCTTGTCTGAGGTAACTGGGTTCTTAAGAGCACGTTGGTGTACAGCAGAGGAAGTGTGGTTCACATGTGTTCTTCCATAGCAGGATGGGAAACAGGACCCTATGACACTTAAACGAAGGACAGTCAGTGAAACATAAATACACCGGAAAGGTTCTGGTTTATAGTCTAACTTATGTCCCATTAACTCATTCCTACCAACGAGGGCAGTTTACAGTCCTGTTGAGTCAGGGGCAGAGGATCTGAAGGAAATCGTTGTTGGAGGATGAGTGGAAAACGGACCGTGTTAACCTCTCCGGCTCAGCCCTTTACATCTTGTCTGATCCACCCAGATCCTCACAAGCTGTTTTTTTGCTGACAGGGGGCGTAAAGTGGGGTATTTAGACTCGGTGGGTAATATAGTTTGGTACTATCCTGTCTCTCTGGCCCTTCATTCCTGCATGGTCCCGATTGGTGTTCCAGCCAGCATGAGAACAAGGACACAAACTGTGAATCATCTTTGTATTCTTTAAATAAAATTCCTCAGCAGCATTTAAGGCTTCGGTTTTGCAAATATTTTCATTTCTTTTGAGCACTTATTGTTTTCTGTAAATTAATCTATTAGTTTATTTTTTTTCTGTTGGGACTTTTTATTTATTTATTTAACTTATTATGATGTATAGATATTTATTCTAGCAATAGTCTTCCTGTTAAAATATACTGTGCTGATGCATCCTCTGAATAACTGAAAATAACACACATATATATATATAGATGATAATAATAATCAAATCTGCAAAATGATTTTCCTAATAAAAATGTGAACTTAGGAGTGTTTCTTGTCTTTTTGATGTTGCTCCGCTCACCACCGGTGTATGATGAATCAACGTCAACTGTGCTAAAGGTTTGATGGCTCTGTCGATCAGTCGGCCCACCACTTTGGTCCAGACCGAAATGTTTCAACAACTGTTTGATGGATTGCTATGATATTTTATTCAGACATTCATGGTTCCCAGAGGATTAATCCTCCATGAGGACATTCATGTCCCCCCCTCATGTTGAATTTCTCTCCTTTTTGTCACCCCTATACGCATGTTGTCAGTTCAGCATTTCAATTTGTTCGATACCTTACCTGCAAAACTAATGACATTCTAGTGGAGTAAAAACTACAATATTTCCCTCTGAACTGCGGTGGAGTAGACATGGAAATACTTAAGTAAATGAAGGCTATACTTTGTTTGAAAGCCTAAACTCTAGCAGACCTGCTTAGCATCAGCATGTCAGGAGAGAGAGAGAGAGAGAGAGAGAGAGAGAGAGAGAGAGAGAGAGAG